TTGGAATTGAATTTGAACTCAATTGAAGAAAGAGTAAGCCTATTTATTTTTGGTTTTAAGACCGGTAGTTCTAGCGGTCGACTCGGTTCTTTCAAATTGTTTCTCATTATTAAGAAAAGGTAACGAAGATAAAATACGAGCTTGTTTTATAGCAATAGTAATTAATCGTTGTTGTTTCAAGGTTAATCTATTCACTCGTCTAGATAATATTTTTCCTTGTTCACTAATAAATCGACTAATTAAACTCATGTTTCTATAATCAATTCGATCCCCCGATTGGATCGGGGGCAAACGCCTACGAAAAGATCGCTTGGATTTAAGAAAAGGTCGCTTGGATTTATCCATGGTTTGTTTAGTTTATTCCTTATCCCGAATATCCTATTTCGGTCGGATCTAAAATGAATTAGAATTAAGAAATAGGATTTGGTTTGTTTATATTTCAATATGTTATGTATATATAATATATAATGTCATTTTTCCCCTTCCTTTGAAGAGTGACACACAGATGCTCGGTTCGATTTATTTCTTTATCTCCCCATGAATCGTATGTTTGTGACAATAGGGACAGAATTTTCGCAATTCCAATCGATTAGGTGTATTGTGTCGATTCTTTTGAGTAATATATCTGGAAATGCCCGTTGATGCCTTATTAACATTAACGCCGTTTCGGACACAACTGGTACATTCCAAAATTACCGTTACTCGGACATCTTTACCCTTGGCCATGAACCTCCCTTTGGATTTTTTATTTAATCAACCCTTCTGTTTTCGGTCCGAAACGAAGAAGAAGAAAGAAAAAAAATAAAAGTTACTAACTAGAAATCAAATAATGAAAGATTTCGCAGCAATCAATAAAGTAATAATAAGTAATACAATGATTTCTAAATTATATTTCGAATCACAGTACAAGTACAGTATTTCATTTAAGTATCTTGGATAATACTCTTGTCCTAGTCCCGCATTTTTCGTTCTACCTCTATTATTAATTTAATTCGAACTTGAACCCGAGTGTCGCACATGTTGAATCCAATTTTCTTTTTTCTCTTTCCTCCCTTATTCTAAAAAAAGGGAAAAAAGAGAAAAGAGGGGTTAGTCACAGATATTTGATTGTATCTCTAATTGTCGTCATTCTTTCCCATGTCAATAACTAGAATGAAAAAAAGGGGAATGTCAACGCATCCGGGAAAAAACGATTAATCTCTATCAATAGGCCTGCTAAAGCCCCAAACCATAGAGTACTTAATACCGGCGCCACGGAGAGATATGTTTTTAGATCTCGCATTGAAAACCCTCCTTCTTTATTTTATTGTAATACATAATGGTAATACATATATGATCAGATACATATGTAGTTAAGGACCACTTGTAGTTGTACACGGAATCCCTAATTTAAATTGAAATGTACAATGATCCTGTAGATAATATTTTCCCTTTTTAAAAAACTAAAACCGAAAAAAAATATGTCCCTTTCTTCTTGAGCATTCCCGAAAAATATTAATTTATTTTTACATTTACGGTGGGTTCCATATTTCATATGTATATAAGTCTTTTACTTTTACTATTATTATATGTTATATGAAACCAAGGAGGAAATAGAGATAACGATGTGGAAAACAAGACAGGAATTCTCTACAATGACACTGTAGACCAATTGAAGGGATGTGGCGCAGCTTGGTAGCGCGTTTGTTTTGGGTACAAAATGTCACGGGTTCAAATCCTATCATCCCTACCTATTACTTCTACTTTGAGCAGTAACGAAGGATCAATTGAGATCAATTCAAATTGGACATACATAATCTTTCATTTTTATGATACTATATAGTATATGCATACAAAATATATTGGGGTTACAAAAATCATCTTTTTATTTATAGTCTTATCTATTCTGATACGAACGCGCTCTTAGTTCAGTTCGGTAGAACGTGGGTCTCCAAAACCCGATGTCGTAGGTTCAAATCCTACAGAGCGTGATTCCATTTTTGTTAGATCGAATTAGACTGAAATAGCTTCACTAATTTGAACAGCAATCTAAATTTGACCTCCTGTCGATTAAAGAAAGGAGGAGGTCAATCAAAAAAAATAGATTTTACTTTATCAAAGATCCAACTGATCACCACGTCTGTATTGTAAATATGCAGTTACAAATAATCCAGCCAAAGTAATAGGAATTAGACCTAACACGATTCCAAATAGAAAAACTTCAATCATTTCAATTTGTTTGAAAGGAAAAAAAAAGAGGTAATATCTATTCCTAAATATTAATCCGAATTGCCCTGAATCTCAATAACCAAGAATTGACAATTGACGTGGTAAGTAACTATAGAATACTATGAATTGTTCATTGAATTAATTTCAAATAAGTCGTATCTTGCTCAGACCAATAAATAGAGCCGAGGTTATAGTTAAAGCCGCTAGTAGAAAACCGAAATAACTAGTTATAGTAGGCATAAAAGAGCTAAATGAAATATGTTCTTTTTATACATATGTTTATAAAGCATTTACCTAAGTTTCCGTTTTTGCAAGATAAGAGGATAAGCAAAAAGTTCAATTGAAAACTTTTGATTCATCATCTGTGACATCTACCCATACCGTGATTCCAACCAACGGATTCGTTGAACAACTCTTGGGTAAACTATTAATAATAAGAACCGTGTCGTGGAACTTCATTCAAAAATGAAACTCTTTTTGAATCACTATGGAATAAAATTGGAAAATCATTTCTATTTTGATCATTTTTTTTTTTTTCGTTTTTGAATTGTATTGAATCTATTTTCAATTTTAGAATGAACCGCAATCTTTGAAATTCATTTATGAGTAAACGAGATAGTATAAATTAATTTCTTAGTAAATATACAAAATTATTAATAATTAAATAATTACATATTTGGAATTAATGTCCTAGGAAACGAGGTAGTATACAAAATTACTGATAATAAAGCCCATTACAAGAGCTAGCATACAAAATTATTGATAATAAAACCAATTACATACCAAGGTTTCTCTGTTTTCGACCAGAACCGGGTGGCCGACCTTTACAACGTTTGTGAATGGGCCGTGATGGATCAAACATTTGCGGCTTATTTCTTTTTCTGGTTAGGCGTTTGCCATTATTGGGAGGGTCAACAGACCAATATTGAGAAGATTTGGAAGATAATGATCTATCCACTTTTGATAAAGGTTTAAACCCCGGTGGCACAGAACTTAATTCGTGTTTAGACATAGATAGATTATATATATATTAGAACAGGAAGAGAAACCTAATGGAAGATGAATTTTTTTGATGTGTATATAAGACCAGAGATTGGTGAGAGGAGTGAATAGAAAAGTGCACATGTGATCAAGACGTGCAAATCGAGGGTGAAGTGCTCGTTTTCTGCTCTATATTTGATTGACGCATTAAACCACTTGTAAAACATGCAGAAGAGATCAGTGAAAGGAAGAGTGAACGAGTAAGTTTTAATGTGATCGCTCAAACAGACGTGGAAATGGAATAGAGCGTTGATTTTCTGAACAACAATCCACCTGAAAAGCATGCAGCGATATGGCATTTTTTGGAATTAAGTATGAGTACTGATGTAAAAGTTTCTTATTTTTACCATAAACCATTCATTTGTTTCGATTTAAGATCTGAAGTAACTAGTTTTTATCAACTGTTGTGATATATATAAATGGAATGGAACGTTGATTTTCTGAACAACAATCCACCTGTAAAGCATGCAGCTATATAGCATTTTTTGGAATTAAGTATGAGTACTGCTGTAACAGTTTCTTCTTTTTACCATAAACCATTCATTTGTTTCGATTTAAGATGTGAAGTAACTAGTTACTTTATCAACTGGTGATACACACGTAACACACTAAGTATGGTATTAAAAGTACAAATAGTTTTTAAGTATATTATTTATAATGTATCTTTAATAAAAAAATAAAATAAAACTCTATTCTCTTTCTAACTCTTTCACAAATCCTATATTATTAAAATTATCTTTTTATTTATAATGTATTTTTAATAATATAAATTTATCCCTCTTTAATTATATTCTCTTTTTAACTCTTTCCTAAATATATATTTATCTTCTTCTACTTCTTTTTCTTTTTTTATTTTTTATTTTTTTGTTATCTTTCTAACTCTTACCAGTATAATCATAAGTTTTTCAATACAAATAGTATATATATTATTAAAGTATAAATAGTTTCCGATCATTTTTTATTTTATAATGTGTTTTAATTTTTTATAACATTATTTATTTTAATAAATACATAAAAATAATTTTGTCACTAGTAAACTATACCAATAAAATTCTAAACCCTACTAGCTACTCCTAATAATTCTATATACAAAATTATTTTTATATTTAGGCTCCGTTTAAAAAAATATCACAAGTGCCGTATTAGCTGAGTGATTGAATTGCTTGCTAGGAATTCTCGTATTCGAACCTTACACCCTCTCCCCTCCAACAATAAACCACTAACCCCTAACATCAGTAGTCAAACCTAAACTCTCACACAAATCAGAGGAGTGGCTCTATCAATTGGGCTACCCAGCTTATAATGGTTCATGGAATGACTTAATTGATTGGGTTTCAGTGGACTGGAAAAGGAACCAACTCTCATCGTCAATTTGCAAGTTAGCCCTTACTGTTCTTGTTTATAACAGTAATAGAAGAAGTTTCCGAAATTCTTCGCTCTTTGCTAATTCTGTGCTACACCGAAAGGTCTGTTAGAATTGGGGATCCCATGTCTGTTCACGTAATCCAGGTACCCTTGCCAAAGATCAAGAAATTACTAATCCTGATAATGTGATTTCAACTTCTAAATGGATAATTTTAAAATCTAATAATTACTCATCAACATTAAAACAGAATCTTAAACTTTGAATAGATCATCAAAATTAATTGAAATTCCATATTGAATATTTTAAAATGGCCCTAAATCAAAGAAGAAATGCCAAAAAAAACTCCCACATTTAATCATATCAAAATTGTCAAAGAAGAACTCACCTTTTAAGAATCAAGTTTTCCCGTATCATCAATGGAGTGCTTCACTTTCACAGCCTGATAAGAAAAGGAGAGACAAATTCGTAAATATGAAGAAAATCAGAGACTAGTGACGACTGACAATTCATGAGATGAGGACGCACATAAGGACTGTTTGTTTGTCTATCCAAAAATGAAGCCCACCAGAGAAAGTTCAGAGATCTGCATGCAAAGCAAACACAGGGACTCTGGTTGTTAATAATTCAAGAACCCAGTCGGCCGCTATCAAGAAGAAGACAAGTCTAAATTTCATTTATACCTGTATATGTTTATGTAAACTAAATTTCTGTTGATATTTTGTTTACGATTATAGTATATATGGAAATTAAAGGAAAAAATATACGTGGGTATGTGTAAATGATGATACCGTGTAAAAGTGTTTTACAGTATACTGGAATCCGACATGTATCGAGCTTACCTAGTGAGCAATCGTAAATTATTTTTAATTTTTGTGCATAAATCCAAAATGCATCAATACACATCTTTTTACTACATAAATACCATAAGCATAATTTTTAATACGAGTAATTTTTACTGAATTTTTAAAAAATACTAATTTATTTATAATTTTTGAGTTGGGATACTAACTATATTTTTAGTACATTAACAAATTAGTCATTAAATAAATGAACATTTATGCCATATATAACATGCGAGGAGAGAATAAATGTGTATATCTATATAAGTTTAGTCAATTTGACAAATAAAAAAAAAAAAAATGAAGCATACATATAATAATGGACACAATTCAAAAAAAAAAAAAAATTTTAATATTTTTTAAAAATTTTCTATGACCATCTAACACGAACAGTGATCTATTAATAAATTATATATCATTACTATTATTAAAAAGTATGAAAATAATACTTATAATTAATATAATATATTTAAATATTAAAGAAATTAAAATTCATTTCTTATATAACATGGGAGAAGAAAAGGTAAAAATGAAAAATATATATAACAGAAGTTAAGAGTGTCATTGTTGTTAAAGAATTAGATAAATATAAATCCTAATAATAAATAAAATGGGCTCTATAGTTTAAGACAAATTCTAGAAATACGATATATGAGGACTGTGGTTGTAAGTTCCTTCCTTTATGCTGGAGTTCAAGCTTCAAATTGGATACGGCAAAACAGGATATAGGTACGGCAAGATACGACATTTTTTATAAAATTACATATATTTTTTATATATAAAATATATATTTCTAATAAATTTCTATAATATTATGAATTTAAATGCAATAAATTACCAAATTCATAAATAAAGAAGCAAGTAAATAAAACATAAGATTCCATTTCACAACACATTAAACATCAAATAACCTAAAAGTCTTAAACCATTCATTATAGAGGGGAAAAAAAATGATTTGCATCAGTTTTTATTTTTTTAAAAATACCCTCTGAAAAGTATCATCGGCGTATCCCAATCGTATTAAAAAATTATCCTCGCGTATCCCAACTGTATGCAAAAATTAAACATTTACTCACAAAAATTGACTACTTTTCCGGAATATCACACGTGTCCGGGTATATTCTAGGCGTATCAGGACTGGACACGTATTTGATACCGTCACGACGCCTTCCGAAAAGTATCCGTGCTTCTTAGTATCTAACGGTTAAATTTTTTTATCACATCATCATTTTTGCTTAAATTAAATTGTACATGAAAAAATGCCCGAAGACAAAAATTAATGGAGGGAGTCCAAATTATTTTTAAAATTACTTATAAATAAAATAAAATTATTAACAATTAATATTAATTTTTCATTTTAAAGATCAATAAATAACATCAAATTTAATAAGACAACTAAGTCTTAACTTGAAAATTTATTTATTTATTTATTATTATTATTATTTTTAAAGTTTGGTCCATAATTATCCGTTTTGTTGCCCTTCATCTCTCTCAGTTAAATTTTTTTTTTAACTATTATTAATAACAATTAAATTAACAGATATACAGAGAGTCCAAATCTTTTAAAAATTTGCTTATAAAAATTTATATTATTAATAACAATTAAATTTTTATTTCAGGGATTAATAATATTATCAAATTTTATAAGACAGCTAAGTCTTAACTTTAAAATATTTGATCCACGTGTTTTATGTGATGGGTCCATGCTTGTCTGTATGTTGCCCTCAATCTTTCTCAAATATTTTTTAAAACGGAAAAGTAACCCAATTAATCAAAACGAAATTAAAAATGAAATTATTATAACTATTACTTTTTTCTTAGTAAACATTAATAAATATTATCAAATTTAATAAGACAGTTAAGTTTTAACTTTAAAATATTTGGTTATTTATGTTGGGTCTATGCTTATCTGTTTTGTTGTCCTTAGAGTATCCCAACGGTTGTGTGTATATACATATATATATTTTTTGTGTAAATATGACGTGTTTATACAAAAATTTTAAACTACTCGTCTTTAGCTCCAACCATTATTTTATACTAACCGCTAATAACAACCACTCACGTGTCATACTAGGATCCCACATAACTTTTACAAACTTACTTAATATAGGGTTGATTCATTAATGAAATGGAAGAGAGTGAGGAGAAATGAAATATGGTTATATTGCTGTGTAAAAGTGTTGTATAAAATACACAATAACTTTACACATTGGTGATGTCCGTGTATCATAACATTTTCATAGAGATAAAAAATAAAAATAAAAAATAAAAAAATTACACATTATACGTGGCGGTTTAAATTTTACACAAAAAGATGTTTTAACAGACGGTTAGAGATGTTCTTAGTCTATCTCTTAAATATTTTCTAAAATCGAAAAGTAAGCCAAAATAATCAAAATTAAAATCCATTAAATGATGACACAACACGTATGAGTATATTTGGAGAGATGATGGTCAAACTCCACTTCAAACATATATCTAAAGATTAAAAACAATACCACATCACCATTTTTGTTTGAATTAAATTGAACATGAAATCATAACACGACTCTTAGTTGCACAAATGATGACATAACGTGCGTTAATAGTTAGATGTAGACTTTGATATGTGAGTTGTGCACAGCGAAATGGTTGTGGAATGTAATATGGATAATTAACCTAGAAGGATGGTTAATAGATTTAACTTACTCCTTTATCCAATTTTTACTTTTTTTAATTTTACTGAAATAAAACTAAAATCAAACCCTCAAAGCAAAAATAAAGTGCAAGTAAAGTAAATAAAGTTTGAGAGACGATACCAAGATTTTTAGCGAGGAAATCACAATTGGTAAAATAGATCAATTGTTGTAGGAAAAACCTCGTGAATTGTGCAGTCCAAAGCAAAACGATCCACTATGTTTGAAGCAAAGTACACTGAACTTTGATTCAGGCTCACACCCTATCGTTATACCAAAAACCAATCGCTGACAATCCATGACTTTGTACCTCCCTCATCTAATAGCCCTCGACCTCAGGCTTACTCTTGATCTCTGTAGAAGAGTTACAGGTAAATCAAACAACACTCCACGAATGTTTTAACCCCTTCAAAGTGTGATCGCTTCACCCATTTTCTTCAAGATCTGAATTTTGTATGCAAAAGCCGTAACTCAATATTGAATGAAAAAGGCATTCTATAGAAGTTTGGAAGACCTAATAATACTTGTAAAACAAGTGGAATTCGTGCGTAGGTTTTAGAAAGAAGTTTGGTCAAAAAAGGAATCAAAATTGATAAGGAAACTGAAGTTTTTAAACTGATCAGGGAGTCTTGAACCGGTTCAGGATTTGTTAAACCAGCTCAAGATGGCCAGAGTGAATTTCGAAGTTCCTTTTTGATTCTTGAACCTATTCAAGTTGGGTAGAATGCATTTTCTCCCTTAAAAACTTCCAAAACTTCCTAAGTGTTCTCACACACTTACAAAATTTCCTAAAACATTGTTCTCATATTCCCGGAGTATATCAAATTATGAATACTTAAATTTTTTCAAATCCGCATCCGATCTTCAATCTTGAAATTCTGAACTAAAATTTTACAACTCGATTGGACTTATTTTGACAACGAAATTAGCGAATTACAAAATATATACTTTTCACAATCTCCCTAAAATATAACTATTACGTTTTTCTTTTTAAAAGATGAATAAATATTATCAAATTTAATAAGACAGCCAAGTCTTTAACTTTAAAACATTTGGTTCATTTGTTTTATATGTTGGATACCTGCTTACCAGTTTTGTTATCCTTAGGAGTGAAGTGTTTGAGTATGCACTAATACTGCACTAGTATTGCACAGAAGATAATACAAATGACGTATAATATATATATATATATATATATATATATATATCAATTTTTCATTTTCATCTTTAATTCAAAATATATATTTTTTTTGTCCTGAAAACTGAAAAATGTTATCCATGTATATAGACTAGAAATTGAAAAGTCCCTCAAACATCTCCAAACATCTTATTTTATATAATACAATTGAATATTATTAAAATGAGAACCAATTGATTGACAATATTTTTATTTTCTATTTATGTGAATCATTGATGTACTATTTTATAAATTTTTAGAAATTTAACATATTATTTAACGATCAGTATTAAAATATAGATAGTTTTTTTTTTAAGATATGAAAAAAAATTGTACAAATAAATATTTAGACAATAGAAAATTTTAATATTAAAAAATTGTAACTCTATAATAATAATAATAATAAAGACTATAAAGGTGGAAATGAACTCTAAATATCCCAACATACCAGGCTATTTTGCCCCCCTCCTCCTTGTATAGAGCTATCTATATTTTGTAAATTATCCTACAACCTATTTTTTGTCATTTAAATAATTATATCATCACCCAAACAAAAGTCAATTATATGTCACAAACAAATTACATTCCAAGTAAGGAAATAATATATGTCACAAACAAATTACATACCATGTAAGGAAGGGACTGTTTGTCCCTAGCCATAATCAAACAAGCAAGAAAGTGTTTGTTTTCATACAAAAGCGGATGTCCAAGGTGCAAGTGGATGGGACTGACGGTGAATGATCAAATATCTTTGTTTTATTTCTTGTCCTAGTTATGCATTTATACCATCCATCTACTCCCATTACTTTTTGGTAAATGGGTAAACTGCTAGTTCCTCCAACTCATTACTTGGTAATGGTCTAAATCCTAGTAGCTCTGCCAACTCATTACTTGGTAAAGATTTAAACTCTGTAGCACTCTCAACTCATTAATTGGTAAAGGTATAAACATTGATGGCATCGACAACCCACAACTTGATTCC